TATCTGTTTCCATTCTGACACACTGGTTGAATGCACTAGCCACTAGCACAATGCACTACAGAGAAGAACATCACTGAGAAATCTACATTTTTGCATCTCCGTTTCATCTGATTTAAGAAATATACTTGGACTCAGTGACAATGGACACTCTTAGTGAGACAAGCGGAACAAACCAAGACACACAAATTACACCTTTAACATATGTTCAGTATGTGTGTGGGGAAAAATAGAGGTGCGTGTGACTTTTTTTTCCTGCAATTAAATTGTATTGAGTTAAAAAAAAAATGGGTCAAGTGATGAAATCAACAATAAACGGGTGAGGATATTATTTTAATGTAGGATTCTAGTCTCGGTGAAGTTACTTTTGACCTTTATCTTGAGTGGAATTCCTTTATTGAGCCTTTGGGCAAATGAGCATGTGTATTGCAAAGAAAAATTATGTATAGGTCATTTTAAAAAAATGTATCTTTTCACTTTGTAACGTACAGTGCTATCTATAATGCTGGTGCAGAGAGATCACTATAAACAAAGGCTAATTTCTGTGGGGTCCTGAACACACAATTGTTCGTAACAGACAAATGGTGCTATCTGTATTGAGTGGATGCAGTGAGCAGAGGTGGCCATTCACTAACCAAGAAGGGGAAGAACCCCTCTATAAGCCCCTTTACCTGCCTGCAAGTGAGGAGGCGGGGCTAGCAGTATAAAAGCCCAGCAGGGAGCTCAGTCTGCTCCCAGCCACCAGAGGAAGCAGAAGCCTGCCCTACACTCCCAAGTTGGGAGGCTGCTGAGGACTGGCTTGGACTGCCGGCCCCCAAACTGAGGAGGCAAACTTGTTAACCACACTCGAGGACTCAGACTCTACTGTCCCTAAGGATTGACCAGGGACCCAGGTATACTCTGAGGAGGAGTCTGGAAGTGGGCCGGGGGAAGCTGATAAAAGTCAGGGTGACTTGACTTTACTTCAAGGAGTCTGTGTTGAAGACCGGATCCCTGCCGACCCCAGTGGCAGTCAGCCCTGCCACCTCCCTCCCCCTCCCCCCTCTTGCAAACCCTGAGTAGCAGTCTCTCCCTTACACTGCCAACTGTGTTTTGATTGTTTGCCCAGCCCTGCACTGGGGCCTGAGCTCATCTACAGACTATGAACTGTTTGTTTGGTTAGTTTGCCCCACCCTGTACTAAGGGCCTGATCTTAAAGCAAACAGGGTGTTTGTATACTGGCTTGAGCATAGAACTGAGCCGGTTGGCTTACAGTGGGGCAGTGGTTAGAAATTTTGTCCCAGATTTTTCCGCGTAATTGAAATGTCTTCAGGGCTGGAGGCAAAGATGGGGATTACCAGAGAGCTAGTTTTTGTTCTCTAATTTTCCATCTGGCTCCCTCCTGGCCCACAAAAAACATTAAAAGACAGTCCACCAACCGAGGAGAGTTGGAATGTAATGCACATTGTCTGTACCTCCTGTAGTGTTGCTGTTACCAATGAGGAACTAGTTAAACTGCTCCTAGATCTGCTGACCTTTTCTCTAGAATCTTCCCTACCTAAGAACTTGTGGGCCATTTCCATTTCCTTTGCATTGCTGGAGGGGGACACAAAAAGAAGAGCAAGAACAAATTCCTGGCCCTGGTTAGCTCTCTTCCTTCTGCTTTCCCCATATAAAGAACTCGTATGTATTCTTCAGTGTTGGACTACCTTTGAGTTCTGCCTACTACTTTTCCCATGCTCAAAATGCAAACAGGGTTTTCCTGCTGCATGTTTTCTGGTGCTGAATATAGTGAGACCACCACCCACATTTTCCTCTTTCTGGCTACATGCTAGATAGGGTCTTCATTTTGCTTTTATGTTGTAAGGGAGGCTTTCTTGTATCAGTGCTTTGATTAGGGTCTCCCACCTGGAGTCTAATAAAGTTGACTATGCTGAGCAGAGCTGTTTCCTGTCAGAGTGTTTGGGCTCTTTTAAGTACAAAGTAATATGCATTGGAAAACATAATCCCAACTCCCCATACAAAATGATGGTTAGCTGTTCCCACTCAAGAAAGTGGTCATGGAATCACCATGTCTAGTTCTCTAAACACCTGCTCATTGCGAAGCAGCAAGCAAAAAAAGCTAACAGCGTTCGGAATTATTAGGAAAGGAAAAGATCATAATGCCAATATGTAAATCCACCGTATACCCACTCCTTGAATACTACATGCAATTCTGATTGCATCATCTTGCAAAAGATACATTAAAACTGGAAAAAGTACAGAGAAGGACAAAACAATGAGTGAGAAATGACACAGCTTCCATAGGAGGAGAGAGTAAAAAGACTAGAACGATTCATCTAAGAAAAGAGAACCAAGCGAGGGATATGATGGAAAATGTATAAAATCATGACTCGTGGAGAAAGTGAATAGGGAAGTGTTATTTACACTTTCACGAGAACCAGAGGTCACTCAATTAATAGGCAGGTGGCTTAAAACCAGCATAACATAGTACTTCAGATAAGTCAACCTGTGGAATTTGTTGCCAAAAGATGTTGCAAAGGTTCAGAAAAGAACTAGAAACGTTTAAAAAGTATAGGTCCATGAATGGCTGCCAGGGATGGTCAGCGATGAAACACAACGGGTGTCCCGAAACCTCTGACTCCGAGAAGCTGGGCCTGTACAGCAGGATGGATTACTGGATAATTGCCCTGTTCATTCCCTCTGAAGCGTCTGGCACAGGCCAATGTTGGAAGACAGGATTCTAGGATTGATGGACCATTGGTCTGACCCAGTATGAATTTGACCATTCTTTTTTTCCTATACTCTCTTGCCTCTGGAGTATTTCTGACCAGTTTGTTTTACAGTGAACAAGCTTCTTCCTGCTTGCCACTCTGGGAATGCTAGCTTTGTGGGAGTATAGTTCCTGCAGAGCAGTTGTCTTGTGCTCATTCCAGTGAACTAGAAAGTGTGCTGTTTGTGCAGAAAAAATGGAAAAGCCTAGGCCAGAGTCACAACCTTCAAGTATGAGAGCCTCATAGACCTCATTCATCATCCTCATGGACCATGAGTCAGGTATGAGTCATTGAGCCAAGCCACCAGCATCTTTATACCACACTGTCATGTTTTACCTTTTATGTAATTCATGGATGTAAATATAGTTAAATGGAAGTAATTAAAACAATAGCTTTAGGCTACGTCTACACTGGCCCCTTTTCCGGAAGGGGCATGTAAATTTCACCTATCGTAGTAGGGAAATCCGCGGGGGATTTAAATATCCCCCGCGGCATTTAAATAAAAATGTCCGCCGCTTTTTTCCGGCTTTTAAAAAAGCCGGAAAAGAGCGTCTACACTGGCCCCGATCCTCCGGAAAAAGCGCCCTTTGAAGTAGGAATAAGAGCCTCCGGAAAAGGGCGCTTTTTCCGGAGGATCGGGGCCAGTGTAGACGCTCTTTTCCGGCTTTTTTAAAAGCCGGAAAAAAGCGGCGGACATTTTTATTTAAATGCCGCGGGGGATATTTAAATCCCCCGCGGATTTCCCTACTACGATAGGTGAAATTTTCATGCCCCTTCCGGAAAAGGGGCCAGTGTAGACGTAGCCTTACTGTTTTCATCATATCCTGCTTTGCATTACACGAACCAAATCAGTTGCAATCCTATTCCTGGTAAAAACAATCTGTACATTTACTTTCACAGGAATTATTTGTAGTTTTTGAAAACCCTACCAAGAGAGGATGTTTTTGTTTTGTTTTTTGTTTAAAAAAATATTTTAAATACCTATAGTTTTAAAGCAGTGGGATAAGCATTCTCAAGCACTTTTGTAGCATGAACCATATTTAATTACTGAGATGATTATAAGACATCTTCCTTCCCATTTGTAATGGCTCCTTCCACATGTCATTGCAATAATGTCCCTTTTAGCAAATCCAGAAAGTGCTTACGTGGAAAAATGGTGGGAACATAGACAGTAGTCTTTGATAAAACCGTAGAATAGAATACTAGAACTGGAAGGGATCTTGAGAGATCATTAAGTCCAGTCTCCTGCTCTCACGGCAGGATCAAGTACTGTCTAGATCATTCCTGACAGATGTCTATCCAACCTGCTCTTAAATATCTCCAGTGATTGAGATTTCACAACCTCCCTATGCAAGTTATTCTGGTGTTTAACCACCCTGACAAGAAGTTTTTCCTAAGATTCAACCTAAACCTCCCTTACTGCAATTTAAACCCATTGCTTCTTGTCCTATCATCAGAGGCCAAGGAGAACAATTTTTCTCCCTCCTACTTGTGACACTCTTTTAGATCTGTGAAAACCACTATCATGTCCCCCCTCAGTCTTTTCTTTTCTAAACTAAACAAGCCCAAGTCTTTCAGTCTTCCCTCCTACCTCATGTTTTCTAGACCTTTAATCATTCTTGTTTCTTTTTTCTTTTTTCAGGACCTTCTCCAATTTCTCCACATCTTGCCTGAAATGTGGCGCCCAGATCTGGACACAGTACTCCAACAGAGGCCTAATCAGCGCAGAGTAGAGCAGAAGAATTCCTCCTTGTGTCTTGCTCACAACACTCCTGTTAATGCATCCCAGAATCTTGTTTGCTTTTTTTG